AGATGGGACAAATTAATTAAAACAGAAGTATTTGTTATTCTGACCTATTTTCCCATTGAGATTCCTCTGGGATGAGCTATACAACAGTGACTTTTTGCACTGGATGTCTACAGCCAGTGGGTACCATGAATAATCTTGAGGTCTGTGAAAGATGACTAAGAAAAGGTATCATACATACATTTTTTTAGCATCCAGCATAACCAGTGATTTCTTTAGTTTTTCTTTTAGGAAATCCATAGTGCATTGAAAAATACCAGCCAATGTACTCCAGGACTTTTCTGATGAACAATGCCAATTTCATTTGTACCAACAAACTTGAGAGGCAATTCTTAATTCCTTTGAATCGGGGCTTCATCCACCAACATCTTTCACAAAGGATTAAGCATTCAAACATATTTTAACAATACGGATTTCCATAACCAGTCTTCCAAAGTGAAAGAGGATAAAGTTGATTTTGTTAACTGAAATGCAAACAAAAGCATTACAGGAGACTAGCATTCTCTAGTTCATAAAAGCTTTCATGTTTGTTATTTAAACAATATGCACTTTGTTTATGTCAACAACTTCTGATTGTCAATGGAGTATTAAAGCAAGAAAAAACCTGGTTTGCAGTCTCTGATGCTGTGATTCCAGGCTGTTAAGATCTCGGGTATAATATTCAGCCAGACAGCCAGGGCTGCAAAACCCATCAATTTCAATTGTAAATGTTACTTTCAAACAATTCTTATTTCACTCCTGGCAAACCATACCTTCTGCTATCTGTTGTGTGCTGTGTTGACTAAAATAGAGACCAATCCTCTAAGAAATAGTATAATTTCCAGGAAATAAACTGACTTAAGTACTTTTTTTCCCTCCTAACCCTATTTAAGGGAACAAAGCTTGCATGCTCAGAGTGCATCTATGAAGGTTTTTATGCCTGTATATCTGTCAGCTTTCCCATAACTAGCTTTTTACATCAGCTAATTTCACACACATTTAACAGTTAGATGGGAATCTCAAATACATTGGGTTTGGTAACTGTATCATCCCCTCTTTTGTCTTTTAAACTAGAAATGAGGAAAAAAGCTAAGCACAAGCTAAAGATTATGCCACAAAGACAAAACAGCTGCTTTAACAGATTCTCACTGATAGAGGAACTGAGAAAGAAAAAGCCTTCACATTGACCTGCAAAAGCCTCTATCACTTCATGAAGGGCCATGTTGACTGAAAGGTCACTGAAATCAGAGTAGTTTGTTACCCACTTCATTAAGTTTCAGATCAGATCTACAAGCTCCAGAGAAAGTTACTTTTTGTCCTTCCCATCTGAAAACTAGAAGTGGCACTACAGGAAATAAGTGTTATAAAAAGTGTATTTCATATTTCTTAGTTATATTATCCAGCAATGCCTGTTAGTAATATATTGATAGTAACAGTACCAAAACATGGCACAGAAATTTTTTGCATATCTATAGACTGCCTAAACAAGAGAGGAGGACATTATCTCCTGTATACATGAAGAGCTTTTTATATCTCTTCTGTCACAGAGCTGAAGTAACCAGCTGGCAACCTCAGTCATCATGCACAGCAACTATATAAACAGATGGAGACAGGCAGTCTTTAAAGCTGATAAACATAAGCACCACCACTTTTCATGGCAATCAAAACTGTATTTACTTATGAGGCAGTTATCAGAATTTATTCAATATTTTCTGACTTCTGCAGCAGAATTAGTAACATTTTAAAAGCTCAGGAAACTGCCCTCTGACACTTGCTCTGAAATGTTCGTACATTAGTCCACTTACTGAGGGTTTTCCAAACACCTTTCACTGAGAGAATTAGGAACCCCTGTCAAATTTACATTCTGGAAAACAGCCTAATAATTCTACTGCCAGAAATGTAAAATAAGAACAGTATTTTGTAGCAAAAGGTCTGGAAAAGTAAAAAAACCAAACACTTATGACTGCTTAAATAACAGATTCAATCATTATTTTGCTCAGCTACTGATTTTTTTTATAGCAGTGCCTCAAGTATAAGAAACAAGACCCTCACTTTAGACTAGCATTTTCTAAAGAAAGTCCCTACCAGGCTAAACATACCAACTTCCTACTTGACTTGTACACTTAGAGTTTCACTCTCTACTTTTACAGTGCTACAGACAGGCAAAAAGTTACTATTTATACATTAACAAGATGTTAGCAGCTTATACCTGAATTTAGCAATCATGAAAATACTTACATTTAATGCAAAATAATAGATAAAAATAATGTCAAACAATCAGACCACAGGTACCTAAGCATCTCACTAATAACACAAAGTATTGGAAGTTTTAAAGTCTTTATCTCAACAGGAGACAATCCAGATACCTCTTCTTCAACTCTGCAGCATTACAGAAAGCACATCTCAAATTTGCAGCATGCACAAATCTCACTTCTGCAGTCTGCCTGGAAAAACCACCAAATTCAGGTTCTTTTGTATCAAGGCCAAGGGAAGAAATAAAGAAAACTGCCAGTCTGCTATCCAGCTTTGGTATGGCTGAACACAGCTGAAGCTATATATAAGGAAAGAAAAATTATCTCACAGACCTCAGTTAAGGGATTCATAGGTCTTTACCAGAATTTTATATTTAGATGGCTCCCTCTTAGTCTCCAAACCAACAGATCTAAGTACTGATACCTTATGCTGCCAGTGAAATGCCTTTTTGTCAGCTTTAGCCTCTAACTGGTTGTAAAGAGATGACTGAAATGAAGATTTCTAGTCAAGCGTTCATTTTGTAAAAGTGCTTATATAGACAGGTCACAAATTAAAAGTCATCTTATGGGATTCACTTAATTCATGTGCTGCCTGTAATAGCACAGAGCCAGCCCTCTAGCACCACTGTAAAGCTAGGCAACTGTGCCACAATTCTCATTTCATCCCTAGTATATCACGCACTGGCTTGACATAAAACAGGAAGAATATAACAAAGAAATGTGGCACTTCGATTCAGAGCTAAGTGATAAATAGAGTATAGCAATTTACTCACAAATCTGGAATTAAAATTAGGCTCAGATTACATTAATCACTCCTTAGATTCTTGAAACTATAGTGTATTTATTTAATAAAAATATACATATTTTGAAAGACCACATGCTTTATCAACAGTGCCCCCCATTATTCTGAAGATTGAATGCTGGTACATTTTCCCACAGATAAACAGCCACCCCTTCTCTACTTTCACATCCCATGCCAAAAATAATTATACATTAAGTTTTACTTTAAAGCATTGTGAAGGTGGAAAATACAATCCATAAAACTTGGTAACATCTGGAGCTAAAGACCTGCAAAAGATTTAGATTGCCATTTGATAGTATTTTAGCATACTTTGCCACAATATGCATGCAGCTCCAATACAGCAGGATTACTGTGAAGTCCTACATACTTGCTGCCTACCTACATGCCCTCTATTTAACAGAGACATGCACAGGATTTCAACTGAGAGAAATACGAATAGGACTCGGGTTAGTATTGCTGACAGATTCATACCCTCCCATTCTGCCAGTAAGTATTATTCAACCATCCACAGATCTATTAACTCAGAGGCTGAACAGTTTTTCTTTAACAACAGTTTGGGCTAAGACAATAACCCCAGATCTCACCTATTTAGTTACACTATCAAGGTCTACATGAAGTAATACAGCGTAACACTTCAGTCCAAGAAAAATAAGCATTTTTTTTGCAACTTCTGGTGAAATGAAGAAGGGAACCATAGTTGCTCATATAGGCAATTCAAAGGGGAGCAAGAACTTGCTTCACCTTGTGTAATCTAAATTAGCCCACTGGGCTAGGACTAGAACCTCAGTTTTATGACTTGCCACATTATTTCTGGAATCACTAGAAAAAGTGTCTTCATATGTAAGTGTTACCAATATTTGGACTTTCTCAATCAATTCTGTTACCAAAGGGTAAGAACTGCCAAATGCTTCATGTGATATGGCTGACAGCTTAAAATGAAGCTTGCTGAAACAACTGTAACTCCATTTGCAGAGTATTTCAAAATCCATTTCTGTTCCCAGAAGGAAGTTCGCTTACCACAGGAAGGAATTAGTTCTCTGCCTACTGTGCGGATCAGCTTTCCTCCTGAGCATGTTGTCTAATGGATGTTCAGACTCTGAAGTCTCTGAATTGGAGGCAATCCCAAGGTTACCCTGGATTTGAAGGGGCTTAGCCAGACAAGGGGCAGAGTTATTCACAGCCATGTGAGGACCCCCAATTTCCAGCTTCTCTGCTCTCTCTCACCTACTTTGGTGAGCTGGTAAGGAGACTGGGATGCAACCTGGAGATAGCCATCCTAGCTTCTGGGAGAATCCAGTACCAGTACATCCTAGGAACATTTTAGCCAAATTGACAAACTTTGACAGATAACACTAGAGCTGAACCTAACTGACCTTTTATTTTTAATAAAAATATATTTTCTCCATTTATGATGCCACTATTAATGATGTTAGACATAGCAAAAAAAAGATTATCCTAGTCACCTACATATTCTCAAATAGCCAATACTTCAAACATCATGGATTAAAGCAGAAAGTACTAGATTCCTGTCTTCGATCACTTTTTTCAGTAAAACTTTAAAATTTTGACACAAATTTCACTCCACTTGCTATGAAATTGATAATTTACACCTTAAAATTGTGGATTGCTTCAGGAAGGCATAATACAGTGTTTATTATTGTTCTTATATATAATAAAAATAATCTGTTAAAATTATATATAAAGATGTTTTAGAAGCAGCTTAGGAAATAATCAACTTGTTTATCTTCCTCATCTCTACTTCACAGATTTTAAATAAAAACTTATACCTATCAGGTATACCCAGTTGAATATAACCTCGTTGCAAAGTCCATGAATCATACAGACAGTTCCTACCACACAGGTATTAAGTTTTCTCTATGTATCTCTCTTCAGATACAGGTCTAAGACCAACATTCAATGTGAAACTAACAAAGTTAGTGGAACTTCTGGTTGTGAAGACAAAAAGTTACCTTAGAATCCATGCAAGAGGTTTGGTTTTGGTTTTTTTTCCACTGATGCCACTCAAATGCAAATCTTCTGATGGCACCCCATATGCTATGCAAGAACAAAAAAGGTACAGTTAATCTTTTATTATTGCAATTACCACTTTCATACCTGCTATAACTCATTCTAAAGCACATTAATTTTACTTTCCTCTGACAAATAGATTTTGCTTCAACTGCTCACCACTTACCATACAAGAACACTGGAATGGGGCATATGACTCCTGTTCTTACTCTTCTCGAATACCCTTGGGAAGTATGGTTACTCTTGCCTCCAGAAGGGATTTGAAGCAAACAAAAATATGGTAGGGACCTGCTGAGGTTGGTAAAGTGCCTGTAAACTGTACACATGATTTCATTCACAAAAACGTGCAAACAAAAATCCCTAGTTATCTTTTCTTTTAATATATTTAAAGATTAATAAATTTAACACATTGATTCAGTTATTTTTAGCATTCAGCCCACAGCTTGTTGAATATTTTGCTGAAAGCCAGTCTTGTTTAGAAAAAGAGGGCAGCTATGGTGCTACCATTACTCCAAATACAATTGTGTGACTGAACCCATGGAGAGATCCACTTTGTTCTTACACTCTCATGCCCCATACTCAGTCTCAAATACATTCACAGATATGGACTTCAAACATAGCCTGTGCAAGCAGCTGATAATTGAGTAAGGCTCATAAATTAGAGATGCCACAGCTAAAGGCAGGATAGGAGCTAAGCATGTTATCTTACTTTGATCTAAGCCTACACATTTGAGCAAACTGGTTAATCATATTTTTCATTCAACCTTTGTGTCTCTGAAATAGTATTCTAAATAACCTACAGAACCAGGTGAAAATAATTTAGCTGACAAGGACTAATTGCCACAATACTTTTCACCACCTTCTTTTCTACACATTTACAGAACTTAAGAACTTATACAGAAGTTGAGCTTTAGCTAATGAAGGCCTGGAGATGATGGACATCAAACGGTAGCTCAAAACTAATACAACCATTAAGGACCCTGCAATTCTGTGAAGTGAAAATGAACGCCACAATAGAAGTTGTCTACGAACCACCTACAGCATGGCCAGAAAAATGTAAATCAGTAAGTTTGTTTCTGAAGCCCTGTAGGAACAGCCAAATAACAAACTGGCCTAAGCACAAACTCCATTCTTGCTTTTATTTCCATATCACTTACTATCAAGGATCTCTGTTCTCTAGACTAAGGTTATAAACCATTCTCATTACAGATAAAAGGCAACCATTCCCCTTATTACTGATCTTTATGACAACTTCTCAGGTATCTTACGATAAAGAAACAACATGAAATAAAGATAAAACCGGAGTATCAGTTGCCTGAAAAGTTTATGTGTATTGAAAGACTCTGTGACTAAGCATGCTGCTGACAAATGCGCACAAAAGTTATACTACTTTCCCACAAGCCTTGCAGCACAGCCCCTGGACGTCCACCGCAGTTAGAGATTCCTAGAGAGATAAAGCAACTTCCTGGTTATTCCTGCCCTAAGGGCATTGGTCTCCCACATGCCTAAACAGAAAAAAACCCACCCCTGTATTTTCCAGCTAGCAGCCCAATCCTACAGAAAGTGAACAAATTGCTTACTTCTTCTAAAACAAACCTGGTAAGAATGCTGCAACACAGAGTCCCCCATGCCCAGAAAGCAGATATTGCGCAGTTTAAAACAACAGTCTTAGACACATGCTCAACCGTCAGAGCTACATAACAACTCCCCTTACTGGGCCAAGACCCAGTAAAAGGTGACATGCTACCAACATAACACCTGAGCAGACAAAGCAGCTGTGTTAGCAGCTTGACTCCCCTCTTGGCCAGGCAGTCAAACACACGTGGATGAGCTGGATTTTCCTAACGGGCTCCCTTCAAGCAAGGCCTTTGCACAAACTGTCCTTTCCCTGAAGAATTTTGTACACTGCACTGTGTGGAAGCACCCTTACTTGTATTTGTACTCGCGCTAAGCGAGACCACGTTTTTACCCCGCTAAAGGGCAGCATGCGACAGCCAGGCCAGGCCTCGCCTCCCTCACCCAGAGCACTCCGGTGCCCCTGCTCGCAGCGGAGCAGAGCAGGGAGAAGGCGCTGGAAGCCGGCTACGGGCTCACAGTTCTGCTTTAGCCAAGGCTACTCGCCCCGGGGTCTTGACCGGCAACGGAGCGGAGCACACGCTGAAGCGGGGGACGGCGGAGCCCCGGCAGCCCCCAGCCCTCCGCCGGCCGCTAACGGTCACCCGCCGGGAGAGGCGGG